TCACACGAGATAAAGTTCGTGCCCAGTTTTCTGGCTAGATTTACTTTTGCAACCTTTTCCGCGTTTGTATATAACAGCAAGAAAACTAAAGGTTTTCCTTTCCCTAGATTGTCTTCTTTCCTGGGCGATCGAGTTCCATCTGCCTGATGGAGCTGGTTATGAGGCGCCAGTTGCTCGCTTTCGCTCATTCTCTGGCTTCGGGAATATAATCTTAACAGGTAGCACTTTCCCACTGCTGTGAAGTAGCCTCCTTTGCCTTTTTCTATGAATATTTACATTGTAATTGTTCAAACGAGCTTGCCTCCTCCTTGGTATCTATACTGCATGAATTTAAGCGTTCTAGTAATTTGGTATTTAGATCTCACCATTTTACCGTAGAAATGGCTAGATGTAACCGTAAGGTCAATTCTAATAGTTTCTATTTTCGTACTTCAAGCCTGTGAAACTCTTTTCTGGTTTATTGCTTCCCTGCGACTTACCATCTTCAAAAATATAAATTTAAATGGATATTCTATATTCCTGGATCTTTTTTCTTTTATTGTTTCATTCCTTTTCACTCCAAGTAATCCATTGTGTCTTAGAGGCATTATCGCCTTTCTCGGAGTGAAATGATTGGAAAAAGAAAAGACATAAGAATACGCGAGGGAAAATATCTAAATACTATGCTCTGATGGAAAAACTGAAAGAATTTTTAATTAGTATTGTAAAAGAAGGAGAGAAGAAAGTACTAACTTTTAATACTATTTTTCACCAAGTAAAAGTTCAGAGACTCACTCATGGTAAACGGTTATTGAATTAGGTTGTTGTAAGAGAAGGCGTTGTAAGAGCATAAGGAGGGAGTAAGATGTCTTAAAATAAGAATATGTTACGACTTATTCCATATCAGTAGAGGCTGCTACGCAAGCTGAGGTACCCCCCCCCAATTTTCGATGATGATGTTTTAGGCAGACTAGCAGTCACAGCTTCATATAGTAGGGTTACACAGTTTTCTGTCCACTCAGCATAGCCAGTTAGTTATGCGCCATGCGTGATGCATGACTGACGAGGCAGATGTTTTTTTCCCGCAGTAGGTTGCCATTTCTTTTCTGTGGCAGATCAGTTGGCATCCTGGTCTGTTCTGCTATTTACCCATAGCTGGTGGGGAGAGAAGAGGATTCATAACTTTCCCAAGGGTATTAGCACGTAAGTGAATATCAGTCAGTTATGCGCCATGCGTGATACACGCTTAGGCGATCATGTATCTTTCGATACATGACTGACGAGGCAGATTTTTTTTCCCGGTGATTGTTTTTTTTTTTCCCGGTGATTTCTTTTCTGTGCTAGACCAGTTGCCATCCCAGTGTTCTGCTATTTACTCATAGCTGGAGATGGGATAGAAGAAGAGGATTCATAGCTTTCCCAAGGGTATTAGACTGGAATTCGAACTCGAATATTCGATTCTTCAATCCGAGCCGCTATCCATTACTCCATCGTGTCTCCTTTTACCAAAGAACCGCCACATTGTAGTACAAACTCTCTCATGGAACCCCCCCCTCAACACCACAATCTTAATCTCTTCAAGGTTCAACCATTATCGATGCTAATTATCTTGATAATCTTCATTTTCTAACGCCCCCTCACATTCGTATCCCGTATCTCATTCACCATTTAACAGTAACCCTCTGCCTCCTGTGACTCTTCAGCGTTCTATTGAGTGAACTATTTCACACACACACCCACACACACATATTTGGTTAATGTTAAATAATTTATGGCTGAGATATTTTCTTACTTACCACCGTCGCAAGTATTCTGTGCCTGAGTCAAAGTAAACGATTAGATTTCAAATGTTGATCCTCCAGACTTGAAAGACTAGCACAACACAATCTTCCCACTTCATATTTTATTTATTTACCACTCAGTCTTACGCAGTACTAAGGTAGGTTCAATTATTACGATGTTTCGCTGTATTGGGATGGCAAAAAACGCATTCCAAAAGCTAGGCAGAGTATAACGAAACAGGATGATTTCTTCGGTACCAAAGAAAAGACTACTGAGCTGCTACGTCATATTTGTCCTCCTTTACGGCAGCGATTCTTGGACGGTCACCTCAACAATGATTAAGAGACCCAAGGCGGCGGAGGTATGGTTCTACAGAAGGATGATAAGAATATCATGAACCGAGCGTGTGAGCAACGATGAGGTTTTGGAGGGGACGGAAAAAAGGAATAAGCTTATACTTAACATCAAAAAGAGACAGCTGAAATTTCTGGGGCGCGTAATGAGAAAGGAGGGCCTGGAGAATCTGATACTCACATGTCGGATAAAGGGGAAAAAAAGACAAGGGAAAGCAACGCATGACATACCTGGCGGGCTTAAGCAAGTGGATGGCAGAACGTAGTCTGGGGAAGTTGGCAGAGGTACGAAACTTATTGTGAGTTACAAGGGATAGGAAGAAGCGGAGAGCCATGATCGCTTACGTCCTGAAAGAACTCGGCACATAAAAAGAAAAAGAATTTTATTTACCCACCACTCAGTCTTGTGCAGTACTAAGGTAAGTTTAGCGATTACGGTTTTAACACGATCGTTTCGCAGGCCGCTGCAAATTCCAGTTTCTTTTTATTTTTTTATTTTTTTTATTTTTTTTTTTAAGCATTACGCCCCAAGCAAGGCGTGAAGCCACTAGGATGCAGGGGGTTGCGGAAGATTTGGAGCGAGAGCAGATAGGAATGATAGAAAAAAGGACGAGGAGAGGGATAGTGGGTAGATCAAGGTAACTGGAGATATCGGTTGACATTACATTTGAACAGTTGGAAATTATAGCTCTCAGGGAAACAATAATAGGGAAGGGTGTTCCACAGGCGAGAGGTGCGAGGCATGAAACTATTGGAGTAGACGAGAAAAAATTTCTACGGTGTAAGGGTGGGAGCTGGATGCCAGCCTCGTAGGGCGCTTGAATTCATGGAGTCTGGGGACGAGTGAAAGCAGCTCATCAGAGCAATTACCATGGAAGTATTTGTAGAAAAGACAGAGAGAGGCAACGGCGCGTCTGTGAAAGAGTGACTGCAGACGAGACGCCAGATCAGGGCCAATTAGATTACATATCCGTAGCTAGAATAATTTGCTAACACGCGTCAGCGTGTTAAATTCCCCACAATATTTAGTATTCGTGAAGTACCAATAAACTTTGTATAAAATAACTTTGTCGTCTATTTCTTTTTTGATGCTACGCCATCTTTGCTTCATGTTACTGAACTGTTACCAAAGCGTTAGTCGTACCAATAAACTAGTATTTAATATTCTTGAAGTACCAATAAACTATGTATACACTAATACCTTAAGTACTTTAATTACTCAAGCTACTACCATTTCTGGAAATAGATTGGATATATAACTGCACCTGCCACTATTCATATATATGTGCATATATTTCTCATTATTTAAACGCTATATTTAGTAGATACACGTGTTTGAATAGACATCTCTGTTTTTATAAACAATGTAAATTTACGGCTTGTGTATTCGAGAGTTTTAATAAAAGAAATGTGCCTTTCGGCAGATTTTGAAACTGCATCCCCTTGTAGGGGAAAACACCGTAAAATCCGATGTGATTTAGACCAACCAGCTAAAGAAAGCTTACAGTCAAACAAAGTTAAATTACATTATTCAAGAAATTCACATCTCTTGTTTGGATTCTTCGAAACCCATTTCTGCTAACTTTTATTTTCACTAGAATTTCTTTTGCAAAAGGCTGACGTGTGTTGATATCCTCACTGTATATAATATTGTTGAAGTTATCACTGACATTTTTTGTCGAGATTTACAAACTCTATGTTTCGTTCAGTTTTGCAAACCAATCGATGAAATTTGAATAAACTGATTTGTTTGGCAAAATACTGACAAAAACCCTACTTCGCGGTTTAATAATTTCTTTAGTTTAATTTAATTTATAGGACTTCATGGTAAACAATATTTTTTAAGAAGATTTCAAGAACCAACGTTTGAAAGCACTCTTTCTTTTTTTTTATTATTGTCTGTTCAACTCTCGACTTCTCACGATCATGTGTTTATTTATAGTTTATAGTTCTCGCAAACGTAAGGCAAACTGGAAACTGGGATTCTTGTATATAAAAATTTAAAGAAAGAGATACGCAAAAAAAAAACAATACTGCATTTTTATTAAATAAGTATTTTGTTATTTTAATCATTAACTGTTTTTAAAACAGTAGAAGTATTTTGTATGTTAAATAAAAACATTTAATTTTTCTATAAACATTAATGAAAATTTATCGTACTGAGCTACGTACCCTAGTAAAACAAATTGTACTTTGTACCGACTGTTTTACTTCTCCCCCAAAATTTGATTTCGACCGGTCAATGTCAATTTATTTTAGAGGGTGTGACGGACGGACGGAAGTTACAGAATTTTATATGTAGATGTTATTGTTATTGATAGAATTATTTCTTTCAAATTATATATCATAATGAGCTGCCATTACTTACACTGAGACTGTTATAATCGTCTTTTTATTTATTATCACAAGGATTTGATCGTTTTACCTACCCGCCTTCTTGAATTTCGAACGGAACACTTTATTTAATCTACGGGATAAAGTTGTTCTCATTCAGCAGTCTCTGTCTATGGGCATCGTGACTTGTTCTTATTTAGTCAGTCAGTTATGTGCCATGCGTGATACACGCTTAGGCGATCATGAATCTTTTGACGAGGCAAATTTTTCCCACAGCAGGTTGCCATTTCTTTCGGCGGTAGACCAGTTACCATCCAAGGTCTGTCCTGCTATCTAGCCATAGCTGGGGAGGAGAGAAGAAGAGGATTCATACCTTTCCCAAGGGTATTACGTAAGTGATTTTAATGAATTCGACTGGAATTCGAACTCGACTCTCCTATTCCTCAATCCGAATCTCTATTCATTACTCCACCATACCTAAATTCGGCACAGAGACTGAACTCACAATTTCAGTCACCAAATTAAAGAAACACCGTTTCAAACCACTAAGCTATGTTTTTTTTTATTGTCTGTTCAACTCCCGACTTCTCACGAGCATGTGACAAACTTTCTGCCTCTTCTCTCTCTCTTCCTGCCATCGGTTGACCTTCGTGCGCGCATTCTAGGCGCACATTCTAAGCGCACCGGGGTCGAGCACCAGTTTACATATCGAGACCACTGAAGACGCGAATATGCACCTGGCGATTTGGAGGTCATTATTCCTGGTCAAACCAGGCTTACAGCTACATCACGTTGAAACACCGTCTCACGTAGATCAATGAAGTTAAGCAATGTTGAGCCTGGTCAGTACCTTGGTGGGTGATCGCTTGGAAGTGCCAAGTGCTGTAAGCTTGGATGTGTGGGTGGTGCAATGAATAACAGCTCAGAACTAAAAATCGGAGAGCCGAGTTCGAATTCCAGTTTGGTTCGTAATATTTACTTACACTCAACTACCCTTGGGAAAGGTATATATCCATCACCAATCATTCCCAGCTATGGGTTAGTAGTATTTGCATCAGTAAAATAACTTCAAAAGTTTTTTAAAAACCAAAAACTGTCTTCTTGTTTTTAATGGCCTGCAAAGTGCTGATAAGCTGTAAAAATAAATAAATAAATCCCGGTCAAATCCTTAATGCACCTGGCTTCTCTGATGTTCATTCAATTCCCGACTTTGCCGGTTAATATCGGCGAATAGTTGTGTGGATTTGGGAGTTTTCTCCAAACGTGAATTCTTCTTCACGTGAGCATGCAATAGAATCTCTGCCTCCTGTCGCTCTTCCTGACTGAAAAGTCAAAGATTTTGACATCATCATATTGGGGGCACCACATATCAACTCTTCTCTTAGAACAAAGGTTCTTTATTGATATTAAACTCTATTCAGACTATCCGGTATTTCTTCTCATGAATTACATACATTATCAATTATTGCACATTTTAGCCTCATATCAGACTAAGTTAAGCTTCACAAATCTTAAGAGGCCGGATTCATGGTTGAAACAGTTGACTATTCATTGGCTTTGTCCAGTGCGATGCTAAGTACAGTAACAAGCCAGATGGCTAAATTGAATTAAGAATGTTATATTACATTAATCTTCAAAGGGAGTGCTTGCCTGCTTTGAAAATCAACGTTCTAAAACCTGGCTTTTACTTGCTAGAAATATGAAATTATTTCATACACGAAGCAGTAAAAAAAGTGAGTAAATTTCAATAGAAAGAATGAATAGTTCGATTCTTCGACATAAAATCGAATAGGAAAAAAATAAAAGCGGATTGATTTTAAGAAAGTATTTGTTAGGTTTCAGAAATTCAATCTTAAAAGTGCGTGTAAAGAATAGAAGCGAGATGAAAGGAGAAAAAAAAACTGAAAGGATAGACAAGTACTAAGAGATGTAACTCAATGTTTTCATTTCAAATGGGTGTAACTTTATTCCTCCCTTGACAGAGCGGCCATCTTTGTCTGCTTTTAATATTAAACCGTAAATTCACTAGTTTTTTTTTTGTTTTGTTTTTTTCAATTTTATTTTCTTATTTATTTCTCTGTTCGATTTAATTTCTCTTCTTTTTACGCCTTCTAGTCAAAACATGCAGTGTATTTCTCTGTAGAATTTTACTGAAGTTCCACGGTGAGCGAAGATATCAGGTTTCTTTCTTTCTTTCTTTCCTTCTTTCTTTCTTTTTCTTCTTCTTCTTTGTTATTGGCTGCCCTCAAAGTTAATGATATTTTTTCCAACAACAACGAGCAGAAAGGCCAGGCATTAACTGGAAAGAAAAATTCAAACAACCGCGACTTTGTGTTTGAGCTATTTGCGTGCTATGTACGTTGCTAAAAAAAAATTTGGTTCACTGTGTCATACCAGACAATTTTTATCGCCATTGTCTATATTAAACATTTATTATACTACCATTCCTCCATTCATTTAATATAGTTTCCACGTCTGATCTGGTGCTTTTACTGTGCATTTACAGACTCTTGATAAAACACAAAAAATAATCGGCAACGTTATTGGCCCTGACCTGGCATATCCATATACTATAAATATTTTCATGGCAAATTTTCTGATTCACTTTCATCTATGCTACCGTGACTTTATGAATTTAAGCGCTGTACTAGACTGGCTGTAAGGTCTCATAAGGTCTGTAAGTTGAAATGAATAAGTGTAACCGTAAGTTATAGGTTTCTTCTCTTGAACTTCTTTCCTGTGGAACTTATGTCTTCTTAATTCCTGTTCTTTTATTATTCTTTCTCCTTAATGGTGTTTTTTTTTTTTTTGTAATCCAGTAACACTTGCTTCTTAGTGGTTTCATTTCTAAAATACCAAGCCCAATTTTAAAATAAACCTGGATTTCAAATGTCGATTTTCGACGTGAGTAAGCCATCTTGGAAAATTGGCACAGCTTGATATGCCTCGAATTTACTCCTTTTATTTGTCACTGTGTCATACTTACCAAAGATTACAAAATATCAATATCTTTTAGCTGCAAGAAAAAACACTATAATTGAGTTGACTTTCTCCGACTTATGTCTCTCATTGTTTCAGCTTTTCTTTCTTTCTTTTCTGTCTTTTTTTCATTTCTTTCTTTTCTTTTTCATTTCTTTTTTTTTCTTTCTTTCTGAACTCACCCACTTGCATTTATTCAGTTTTATATATTCCCTAGCTTCCGTTCATTCTTGCTATGGGTTAATCTGACTCTCTCTCTCTCTCTCTCTCTCTGTGTGTGTGTGTATCTATCTATCTATCTATCTATATATCTATCTATCTATATCTCTTTATCTTTCTATATATATCTATCTTTATCTCTCTATCTATCTATCTTTATCTATCTATCTTTATCTCTCTATCTTTGTCTCTCTCTATATATATATCTATCTATTTTTATCTATCTATCTATCTATCTATCTATCTTTATCCAACTATCTTTATCTCTATCTATCTATCTTTATCTCTCTAGCTATCTATCTATCTACCTTTATATATCTATCTGTCTTTATCTCTCTTTATCTCTCTCTCTCTCTCTATCTATCTATCTCTATCTTTATCTCTCTATATATATATCTATCTTTATCTATCTATCTTTATCTCTCTCTATATATATATCTATCTTTATCTATCTATCTTTATCTCTCTCTCTCTATATATATATATCTTTATCTATCTATCTATCTATCTATCTATCTATCTATCTATCTATCTTTATCTCTCTCTAGCTATCTATCTTTATCTTTCTCTCTATCTATCTATCTATCTATCTATCTATCTATCTATCTTTATCTGTCTATCTGTCTTTATCTCTATCTATCTTTATCTCTCTATCTTTATATCTCCCTCTCTCTCTCTCTCTATATATATATATATATATATATATATATATATATATATATCTTTATCTATCTATCTTTCTTTACCTCTCTATATCTATTTTTATCTATCTATCTATCTATCTATCTATCTCATTAAAGAATCCTGCATAGCGAATTATTGGCTATCTAATTTTCACCGCAAAGGATCTTCAGGCCCCAAGTGCTAAAATGCTTGTTTGTAAATAATCGAAACGGTTACATCTAGTGTCATAGGCCGGCAACCACCTCTCAGTATAGCTGGGATTCTTTTGATTTCATGGAAAACGCGCGTTCATTTATTCAAAGATGTATGCGGAAAAAAAAATTGAAACTTTTTCAGCCGAGCATATTAGAAAAGGCAAATGCCTGAATATAGCCTATAATTATTTGTCCCCAATGAGTTAAAAAAATGGAATAACGTGAACACGTTCATTTATTCCAAGAGAATATAGAGAGAAAGGGACGCACAGACAGACTTTTTTATTCGGATTGAGAGAAAAGCCTAAAATGTCTTTCTTTCATATCCGCTTTTTCCCTACTCCCCCCACCGCCCAACACACTCTACCTTTTTATTCTTTATAATACACCCAAACACAGGATCTCTGTTTTCCGCTTCAACACACACACATATACATCTTTTTCTTTATAATAAGAATAAATGCATTATCTGACATTATCTCTCTCACTATATCTCTCTCACACACACACTATTTTTCTCTCTTTCTCCCTCTCTCTCTCTCTCTCTCTCTCTTTCTCTCGCTCCTTTTCTTCATAAAGCAAACAAAAACGATGTCTCCTTCTCTCTGCTTCTTGTCCAATTTTTCTTTTCATCCTTTTCTTTTTATCACTCTCTCTCTCTCTTTCGCCTTCTCTCTCTTGCTTTCTCTCTCTCTGTGTCTGTCTCTCGCGCCTTCTCTTTCATGCCTTCTCTCTCTCTGTCTCTCTAAGTCTCTCTCTGTCTCTGTCTCTCTCTTACTCCCTGTCTCTCTCTCTCTCTCTCTCTCTCTCTCTCTCTCTTTCTCAATCATTTTATTTCTCGTACGTTTTTCTCTTACTTTGAAATAAAAACAAAATAAACTTGTACTCTCTTTCCTCCCTCACTACTCTCAGATTTTCTTTCTCACTTTTTCTCTTTCTGTCTCTCTTTCACACATTCAATCGCCCTCCTCTTTTTTTTTTTACCTTTTACTCTTTCTATCTTTTGTTCCAGCTCCTCTTAAACGTTTTCTTTTTCTTTTCTTTGCTTTTCGTCCTTCAACAGTTTTTTTTTCTCAATTCATTTCCGTTTCGTTTCTGTTTCTTTATTCTATTTCTGAATTTTTGTTATTTTTCTGCAACTTTTTTCTTCCTTCATTTTCATTTCTTGCCTCTACATAATAAATCGTCTTTTTTCTTTCAATATTGCCGCCACATATGGTCCTCTACCCCACATATGTTCCTCTTCCCCTACTGTTTACCCTGAGCTCCTCGATAATATTCAAAGTAGGATCAGCAATATTATTAGCTCTGATCTGGCGACTCGGCTTCAGTCAATTACACATCGCCATAATTTTGCCTCCCTGTGCCCTTTCTATAAATATTTTCAAAGTCATTTTTCGGATGAGCTCTTCGCTTTTCATAGAGACAAAGTGGTATTATGGTGGTTGTAGTAAGAAAGGTACGAATGAATGTGTTGTTTTAGTGTAAGGAATATTGTTCGTATTGATTGGGTCAGTGTTTGCGGCTAGCTAAGTTATAGTTAAGACAGAAGAAGACCGTCCTTTCCCCAATCCCCTTTTTGGCCTTGTGCCACATTTCTGTATTAAACAGAATAAATATCGCTCTTCTCTATAAGCGCAGTTCTAGATTGGCGCCAAGATCACATCAATTTACAGTTGAACTAGCTAGATGCAGTCGTGACTTCTATTCTAAGAGTTTATCACGCACTTCTCGCTTGTGGAACACCAGGTTCCATGCTTTCCAGCCAAATTTAATCTGGAAAAATTTAAATGCAATGTCAATCATTATCTATTGTCCTCCTGTTTACTCTTTTCTTTTATTGTTCATTAATGTTTCTGTTCTTAATTCTTTCACACCCTATAACCCCCTTGTGTCTTAGTGGCTTTACTGCCTTGCTTGGGGGTGATACCGATAAAAAAAAAACAATAATTATATATCCCCGTTACACATTTTTACATGAATTTCCCAGTCGGGTGATTTCTTCCTGTTTAATAAGTTTACCTTTATATAAACAAATACAGATCGATATCTTAATTATTTTTTTTTAAATCTGAGTTGGGAAGCTCGGCTTTCTTTGAAAATCAGCATTTGACACCCAAGCTGGACTCGAAAGTTGACCATTCTTACCTGTGAGAAATCCATACGGTAATTCCTCATGTATAATACGCATTTTTTTCTAAAAAATAATAAGCAAAATCGGGGGTGCGTATTATGCACAGCTACAAAAAATCTTTACAAAATTGCCGTAAAATAAAATAAGAATTATTATAAAACTAAATTAGAATACTATTCTATGTTTAAAACCATTTTTTAAAAATAAGTGTAGCTGGCCTTAATGAAATTGGGGAGGTACAATTTATAATGTTTGATTACCAAACAAGTGGTTATGCATGAGTATTAGCATTTCCCCACACTTTCCGCCCAGTCTTAGGTGTGAGTATTATGGATGGAGGCGTATTATACATGGGGAAGTACGGTAATTATTTCAGGTGGATTTTTTTTTTCTGGGGAAAACTGAGAACAACCGGAGAGAAATATTTAGGAACTATGTTGCTGAAGATTTTTCCACGTTAAGACACTTTCATTACTAAGCATCGGCTAGTCAGGCACAGGGACAGAACAGAGGTTGAGCCTCGCTGTAGATCGAACACTCGACACTGTCGAATGGTTAAGTTAGATTGGTGGATTTTTACAGGTCAACAGTATATTTAATGTCAAAATTAGTACAAACCACCCAATGAGAATTGAGATCACTGATCAGTATCGATGTTTTGATATTTAAATTTGGTTATCCAATGCGAATTTTGTATAGGGCCTCCAGTAGCTATCGTACTCTCTAATCAAAAGTAATTGCTAGGTTTTGATTTGTCCCCATATGAACCGTTTTTTTTTTGACTTAGTCAATGTCAAATTTTGCATGAAGTACCCAGTAAGGATCAACCTCACTACTCAGTAGTAATAGCCAACCAGACTAACTTTCTAACCATTATTCTACGCCAGGCGAACTTATATGATAATTTCAGTATAATATTTTTTTAAATTGTGGGGCAATTACCCATTACTTCTTTCTAATGCTGCGATTTCCAAAGTGAGAGTAATTATCCACAAAGGAGTAAGTAAAGGTATCCCAGAAAATAATAGCAGCTTAGTAACTGTGAATTATTAGGATTACTTAGACGAGATAATCGATGAAAGTAAGAAGTGACTACATATTGTCTGGAAGAATACAAAGCACATAGCTGCGAGCAAAAGGGTTATTCCAAAGTGTGATTTATACATCAGGGCATTAATATCAATCAGGAACAGAACTTTATTTACTTGAATAGTGTAGTTACAGTGTAATAGTATAGGGTCACCCTTGGTGGTAAGGATTTAGGGAAAGGACTAGTCTAAGCACGATCCAATCTCCGATGTGTTGGTGGTTAAGATGATGTTATGCGTACGACATCCCGATCCAGTTTGTCATCATAAACATGCCTTTCAAGCCCTGGTTTGCCGCCGCTAATGGTGTCATCTGAAGTGTGTGTGCCATGGTGAGGCGACCCATGGACTACCACAAAAAATAAGAAAATACATTGATCGTCAGCGAAGATTCACTGACCGTCCGGTACATGTTTCTTTCAGAGCGTACAGGGTGACAGAGGGGACGCTATGTATCCAAATTTTCTCTTGTGTTTGAACGGCTTGGAGACAGTTTCATCTCTCTTCGAAAAGTCGAAATCTGTGGGGTTTTATAAGTTCCTCTCCCCACCCGAAAGAAGGTTCGAGAAAAATATAGTTTAAGTTTTCTTTGATGTGTCAAATATTTTACGTGGTGATGTTAATTGCTAACCAATAGACACTTTGATTTAAACGGTGTGTGTTGTAATATGGAATCTTTTTGACATGTTTGTAAATATTTTCTGTTATTAGGTAGAAAATAAAGTTTTGGTGTGTTTAGATATGATATATATCTGGGAATGTAATTTGCGCTGGAAATAGGGTTTATTTCCTGGCAGGAGAATGATAACTACAGAGTAATACTTGCTAAGAATCAGAAATAGGTATTTGAAACTTTGAGGACACATAATGAAGAAAGAAGGCTTGGAGAAATTAACATTCACAGCGGGACATCGAAGGCTAAACTAGCAGTCAAAATCAGAGGGTCTATGGATCAATGAACGAATACCACAAAGACAAAGTAATATTAGCCGTTTCCTTAGGGTGAAATATTCTGCATTCATTGACGAGCATCGAGTGCCAGTGTTGGTTGTAATTTATAAAATCATTCAGTTAGCGCCGTTTTGAAACGTAAATGAGTAGTGACAATCACTTCTATCATACAATTGTGGTTCCTGATGACAGTCAAGCCAGAATAGCGCCATGATATTCCGAAGGATTTTGAGGTTACCAGGTTCCTCCTCTCAGAAGTCAAAGACAAGGTAGCAGGTGGTTTGAATTAAGATGCCCAGTCCTCCCTGTTATTTACTTATATCTAGATAGAAGCATCTCTTCATACTTTTCCCAAAGGTATTAGTACGTAAGTGAATGCAATGAACTCGGCTGGAATTCGAACCCGCTTCTCCGATTCCTCAATCCGAGCTGCTATCCATTACTCCACTGTGACTCTCTCAGAACATTTTTATTTATTTATTTATTTATTTATTTATTTATTTATTTATTTATTTATTTATTTATTTATTTATTTCTTTCTTTCTTTCTTTCTTTCTTTCTTTCTTTCTTTCTTTCTTTCTTTCTTTCTTTTTCTTTCTTTCTTTTCTTTCTTTCTTTCTTTCTTTCTTTCTTTTTTTCTTTCACCAAATTTCTTTCTTTCTTTCTTTCTTTTTCTTTCTTTGAGCGAAATCTTTCTTTCTTTCATTTCTATAGATCTTTCTTTCTTTTCTTTCTTTCTTTCTTTCT